AAACAAATGTCATTCAAAGGCTGACCCTAGCCCTAGCTAAAAACAATGGGTCTCAGCCGAAGGGTTTGCTTGGCTCGCTCATCAAACTGCTGGTAGCGAAGAATGAATGACACCCCTCTGACTTAGATTGACGACGACTGCTCGAATCCTAAGTCCCGACGATATATATATATATATATATATATATATACACATATATATGGATACATACATACATACATACAGACATACATATATATATATATACATAACATCTTCATATACACATACATACATACACACACATACATATGTATAGACCTACATAATCCTACATACATACATACATAACTAAACGAAATACAAGCACAGACAGGTCTTCCAAATCTCACGTCCTCGGCTCGCCGCCGCCTGTGCGATCTTCTGCCTGCGCGGACGTTCAAACAGTTAGCAGATGCCATTTCCATTTTGTATGCTTATGACCTCTCAGCATTTTTCCCATGACCAACCACAACTCCACTAGAACAACACCCGAGGCCAACCCAAACCCCACCGCTCGCACCCCAAAAGACTTCCCCCAGCCCTCCAGCCCCAAACCCTTAACCCTTGAAAATGGAAATGGTTTTCTCCTAGAATTTTGGGGGTTAAAGAAGATGGAACAGGCGCAGCAGCTCACGGCAACGGCTCGTCTTTTTCTGGCTACAGCAGTGACTGCATGTTTGCAAAATGCCGCTGCAACATGCTGCAACTGTCCAATCATCGGTGCCAACTGTGAGACTTTCTCTACATGTAACCATAGTCTTTCATTTTCTGTTCGCTCTCACCCAGAATCTTGAAGGCAAAATGCCAGTGCTTCAGGGTGACGCTGGTATTGGTCGTGCTTCGGATAATACCTGCCAGTGGCTCGCGCGCTTTAAGCTCCAGGTCCAAATCAGTTTCGACTCTCACTGCCCATCGGCCCTGCCTTCGGCACCTTCTTTACGAAGTCCTCCGCCCGCATCGGGGGTTGCCATGCATCGCCTGATTGGCTTGATTCTCTTCCGGCACCACTGCTCAATCTGGATTTTCACTGCCGCCGCACCCTTCAAACCCACCGCCACATTCTCGAGCAGATCGGCGAGGTCGCGGAAGTTGATGGAAGTTGCCACCCGCAAAGCGATAGTAATACTTCAGGATGTCTTGCACCTGGCCTGCATCCTTGCCCACACCTTGCTCCAAGCGTCCTGACAGCATCTTGTCAATCTTCATCACCTTCACGAACTCAGCGAAGGGCAGTGGCTGAACAACCAGCAACCGGGACATGTTCAACTTCCCACTGAGTTCGTCTGCTATGAGGGACACGCTGACCTCAACGATGAACTTGCAAAGCGCTTCATCATAGGTGAGACCCTTTGCAAAAGCCCCCACTGCGGAAGCGATGGCGTCGCGCTCGTCGTAGTTGAACTGATCCGCGCAGTTTTCGGTGGTGAGTTGCAGGTAAATGACCACAGGCCCACATGTGCAAGCCTTACACAGCTCTTTGAGAGTCGTCAACAGCCAAATATCCTGCGATGGTTTGTCCTTGTCAGGTTGCCGCAGCACGGTGGCGAGAAGCGTTGGCTGCAGAGATTCGCCTGGTTTCAGATCGGCTTTCATGGGCAGAATCCATCTAGCTCTCCACCAGCCTCTCGTCCAGAGCTTGGAGAATGCCTTCTCCAGCATGGTTGATTTGCCTAATCCTCGAGACCCAGTGACTCCCAAAATTGTAGTCCCAATGGGTTGGCGCATAGACATCTTTGTGCTGATGTAATCCTCAGTGACAGCTTCCTCACGTGGGCTCTGGGGAACGAACTTGCTTCCATGCCGAAGACGACCTTCAGCCGCACTTGCAGTTGCAGTCATGATCATTCGGGGTCGAAGCCGAGATGCAAACCACACAGTCAACAACGACCAAACCGCAGTTTGCAGAAGTCCCGATGCATGGGCTGAGGCAAACTGCACGGCCTTCTCCCACAGCGGTTGCTTCTTCACACGAATTTCGTCCCAATCCACTTCCACGCTAGCAGCGCCTCTGCTTTCACTTGCGCTCTTGGGGCTGCATGTCCAATCGGCGGTAAACGCTTGTGGTATTGCGGCAAATGACTGCTACTACCCGAAAACATTCCACAAACATCCCTTCAAGAAATCTTGCCAAAAGTGCTGCAACAAAAACAACCATGCAGACAAAGTGTGATTAAAACGCGAACCCCAACCAAGCGCACTCACTCTTCCTGTCCACCTGGCGAAGAGTTTTAACAAATTTCATGCGAAACTTTGTGGTATTCTCAAAAGAATACTTACATATTCTGCGCACAATTCATTCTGCGTGTGGGGAACGAACAACAGCATTCTAGCCGGAACTGTAGGAGTCTGAACGTTGAACTAAGTTGTAGGACAACTCGCAACTTAAGTTGTGGAGACGCGCACTGACTATTTCAGCATAAGCCGTGTTACAACTGCCCACAACTTCATGCAACTTGTTTATTACTACACCTTTAACAATTCAAGCCGCAAATACTGCCGCTTATTGCCCTCAACTCTATAACAGTTTTGCCTTAATTTGTTTTCAGTATTTTCTATTGTATACTGTATAAGTATTCTGTGACCACTTGCTCACCCTTTCTTTTCAATTTGGTTTTCGCTTCCGAACCCGAGTGAGGCATAGGTTGTTATGGTTTAGGTGCTAGCGGGTGGGGCATGTTTAGAACATGGACATGGTGTCTGCTAACTCAGACTTGGCTGCCCAAAACCGTGCGTAATCAACATGCAGCGAGTCTTGGCTTGCCTTCTTTCCTTTCTTTGGTGTCCTTCCCAACCAGAAAGACAACGGACAAGTTCAGAGGATAAGCCTAGGGCTCTACTTTCAGCCGAAGTGCCTCCTCCCGCGTCTTGCGCTTTCGGTGAGGCGTTCCATCTCGGGCTACTGCCTCTTTTGGCTCGGTTTTGTCATCATCCTTGGCTAGCTCCTTGGGCGTGTCCTCTTTCTTCCGTTTTGCTGTGTCCTTTTCCGCGGTCTTATCCTCTTCCTTCTCGTTTGCTTCACTCTCAGGTGCCAGATTTTCGGCACACAGCTTGCTCGGCTTGCTCTCTGAGTTCACCTGCCGGGAACTCCGCTTGAGCTTTCGATGTCTGCAGAATCTACGAAGCGACCATGCAAGCGAGCTGCCGGCTCTTTGTGATTCTTATCTTTGCCTTCTTTGCCTTCAACCTGGGCTCCGTTCGCGAGTCACTGGGAAAAACAAACACGGGCTGGCACAATTCGGAGTGCGGGAGGGCTGCAGCGGAATGCCCGTTTTGGGCAGTCGGAGGCGCCACTTCTTGTTCAGGAAGGGGCCTTGGCTTTTCCGCCCAAAGCAACAGAAAACATGGCGGACCTGGCCGTTGGCTCATGTCTCAAAAGTCTCAACCACATTGCAGCTTCGACAAGTGTGTCTGGCCATGTGCTCCCGAAGGGCTCGCCCTGTTCCATCGGCTTGGAGCCTGGCTCCTGCATTGTCGACCCTAACCCAAACCCCTAAACCCCTAAACCTTAAACCCTGAAGATCATCTGAAGGACAACGGGACAAAAAAAGACTCCTCGGTCTCCTCGGTGCCTTGCTGGCTCGGTTCTGGTGCCTTTGCACCCTTGGCCTGAATCCAAGGATTCGACTCAGGGCACTCTGCTTTGGCCTCTGTCGACAAGGCCTGGCCTTGGCTCGTCGAGCTGCCGCCTTCTCGGCGATTTTCTGTGCCTGTGCAAAAGCATTGCAAAAGCGTTGCTCAGTGCCACAGCAACGGGGAAAAGCATGCGATGCGTCTGTGGCCACTGCTCGTAGCTCCTCTGAAGAGGGTCCAGAGCGGCGAGCCGCAGCCTGTAAGCACAAAAATAAACGCTTGAATCGGACTCGGGCCAAAAGGGATGCCGTGGCCTTCTGTGCCAAACGCTGCAGCCTCGCCGCCTCCCGCGCCTCGCGCCGCTGCCTGCTTACAAAAAGCCTAGCCCCCTCGCTCCAGAAATTCGGGACATTTGGGGACGCGGCTCGCAATCTCTCTTGCGCTTGAAACATCTTGCAGCTGTGCGGCTTTCGCTTCTGGCGAGCTTCGGCACCGGTGATGTCATCATCCTCGCAGGACTGCTGCATGGCTCTGCCATCGACCAATTCAGTCTGAAGAGAAACAGGACATGAAGCAACGAACGTATTCATTCTGATTCTGTCACCATGGGCGGTATTCTCCTCGACGCTTTCCAAGTCTTCCTGCAGTATGATCAGTCTGATCAAGCTGCACATGTGAAAGCAAATGTCCGCCAGCCTCGGGGGATGCACATGCTGCCGCTGCAGAAGCCTGTCGGATCCACTGATGCACCTATGTTGCACACACGTCCAAAGCTCCGTCGTGCACACAGAAACCTATCGGAGCCAAGGGATCTTGGCAGGCCAACATCAATGCCACTTCCGAGAACTCCCTTCCCAGGTCCCCTCCCATCCTTCAGCAGTTCCAAACATGTCCCGAATAATTTCAGAACCTGCCTCTGGAGAACTCCGGGCCGCAGTCATGGACACACGAGGGACGAAGCTTGGCCGCAGGAAATGCACGCTTCAAGAACGCTGGCCGGGTGAGGTTGTTGGTGAGAGTGGGCTTGAAGTTGGATGTCTGGGATGGTTTGGTAGCTGAAGCGTCTCGCCAGTGAGAACAAACGTAGGCGGGATGCTTTGGGGGCTGTCGGGGTTGGGCTCAACATGTCAATGTGCTCTTCGGTGCGGCCACTGCCGTCGGCCGGCTGATCCTGGCCTTCAGAGCTGTGGGGTCCAATGGAATTCATAGCAAGCACTCATCTACCCTAATTAGACGCTCTCAGCCTGCACCCAGAGGTGCGTGGTGAGGTGGCGAGCAACGTAATTTTCGCCCGCTCTGAGCTGTAAGTTCACACAGAAGTTGCTATGAGCAGAAGACTCGGGGCATTGCAGCCCCCTGCATCTACGCTGAGATGCCACGGACGGCTCCGCCACAGTGCAGGCATCTGACTACGAGACGGCCGAAGTGCTGTCCAGCTGTCCAATCGGATGCACTGCTAAGTCTTCCGTTCGTGCAGTCTTCAGGCATGCAAGCAAATTGACAGAATCGAGTGGCAGGCAAATATCAGCCCAATGCCCATGTAGTTCCATTAGAAATGCTCGCTTGCCTCCCTCTTCACTGTTGTAGTGGTCGAGTGAGACGCCATGCCCAGGAACCAGCTCTAGTCGTCGGTGGCCTGCAGGTGCTGCGAATGAAAGCAGTCCACAAGGCGGAAGAAACACCTTCGCGCTGCATGCTCCGGTGGCCGCCTGCGTTGGACCACCTAGGATATCTGCGTTGACCTTTGACCTCAAAGCTTCTGCCAAGGTCAGAGCGTCAATTAGACCCGCCGCTTTGTCGCTGAGACCGTCACGATTTCCCGTGTGTGGATGCCCAGAAGGAGTCATCCTCTTCTTCATCGAGGCCGCCCTCGGAAGTGCAATTTCCGCGATGTACTCAACCTTTGTACTTTGTGTCCCACTGTGGACCAAGGCGGAGTTGAGATGGGGGGGGATTTTTGGACATGAGCGTTAGTCATTCCTGAAGGATGTTGATCGCACATCGAGAAGCACAGAGTTAGACTGGATTGCTGGACTGCTGAGCCTTGTTGCTTTCCTGGCTTCGGTTCCTGCAGTTCCTGAAGCAGCATACAAGCGGCACACACGCCAGCTTTGTCCTCAGTAGGTTCACATTGTCTATCATGTCCAGGCCTTTTTGCAACTCCCAGCCCCGAAGCGCAGTGTCCCTCGCTTTTTCGCATGCTTACTGATAAGCGCCAGTGTTGCCTGGTACAAGTATCTCAGGATTCACTACACCGGTGTGGCTTGCAGGCATCCCCGCATAGTCCGGATAGTCTCGACAGAAATCTCCGACAGCTACTGAACATTGTCCATCCGAATGTGAGCTGAACTGGTAACATGTCGTTCTTTTTCCTCTCTTCCTTCTTGCATAGCCGTTTTTTGGAAATTCCGATCGTCCGAGACCATAGAATGTGCGGCCGTCGCCGGTGCATGCTTCTGGCTCTAACTTCCCAACCCGATAGATTTCACACCATCCTCCAAAATCGCACATTGACCTTGGATCATAGCCTCGTCTGCCCAAACGTCTTTCCCTTCGGTGATCTTCGAGGTCTCGCCCTCTTGATCATCGACCTGGCGCTCTAGATCTCCCTTAGCAGAGAAAACACTCAAGTCTCAACTCAATTCAAAGACTACAGATGCCTGTTTGTAGGCATACCTCTGGCTGTTTGTATGTGGCGCCCAGAGGAACATGATAGCCGCAAGTACCTGTCACGACGTACACGCTTGCAGAATCGTCTCAGTGACCTGTACATCGCATAGAAGCCGCAGCCAGACCCACAAATTCTACCATGAAAGGCGCACCATGCAGAAAAGGATGTGGGAAACTCCATCTGCAAAGAACCACTGATAGTGCCATCTCTGGCTGATGCTGCGGGATAAATCGAAGAGCTGGTAGAGCCTAAGATGTGCAAACACGAACTGACCATACCTCACCGAGATACTAAAGAAAGGGAGGCTGGAAGAGGGAGAGGGAGAGAGGGAGAGAGCGAGCGAGCGAGTTCTGCGCGTGCGCGCGTGTGCGTGTGCACACGCTCTGGGTCGGCGGCAAGCTCAAAGAGGCCAAGCTCAACGCTGCCACCAAGATCTTCCACCTGCAGCTGACATTGCTCTTCAACGGTTTACGGAAGTCTAGTAGGTATGGGTAGCTATAATATATATAATATAATGTAGTATAATAGTATGCTCCAGAATAGCATAGTATGCAAGCCGGAGATAAGGCAGGGCCAGTGCAGCAGAGCCGCAGACGCTGGAAGAGTATCAGCCTCTTCATCCAGAACTGAAGCTCTCGTGCTCTCTCGTGCATTCGCGTTTGGGCTGTACCAGGCGGCGCACTTCTCTACCTGCTTGCGCTCTGCAAGGATCTCAATGAGAGAAGACCTCGTATCCGAAACCCAGCAAAAAAGGCGCTTTCCGCTTCCACACACAAGTGTAAGACTTCGGCAGCGCTGTGAAAATCCAGTAGAATATTATGCCTCGATGCTCAGTTGGGAGCCGAAAACTCTCTGTGGTGTACTGAGGATTGGGCCATTAAGCAACGCAACCTCGGATCTCACGCGACACTGGTGCTGACATGTGCCGGCTTGTTTTGAGGCAACCGCTGGCAGCAAGCACAGCATCACGAAAGCTATCGAAAGTGAATGGCTGTTCCTGCCGGGCGTGCATTCAGAAGCACCGAAAGTCACACCTGCAGTTAAGCAGTGTCCTGAAAGACAGCGCTGATTCACGGACAAAGTCCAGAACGATGTACAGGAACGAGAGTCCCTGAACCTCGTGGCCGGCTCTCCAAAATCTGAGTGAATCGACTTCTCGGATTCCCGAGCTTCTTGACCTCTCTGAATTTGCTTTTTCATTCACAAGCTCATGGGAGAATATTACACGTTCTTCTCGAAACTGCCCAACCGCAGCTTCCATCAATGACGGACGTCTTGAATGCAACATGGCCAACATGGCTTGTTCAAACGGCTGAAACAACCTGTGCTCGTGCAGGAAATTGGAATGCTAATAATTTGTCGGAAGTGTATGTGTATTTTATCGCTGAAACACTCTGAACTCTTGACCACCCCAGGCCTTGAGGATGGTCGGCTGATCCAGATAGGGGCGTGTCACGCCCCAACCCAAGGATGCAACAAGAACGAGCATGTAGGAGAAGATTGACCTTCCGGGATGGCGAGCGAGCCAGAAAGGGGGTGACGCGGAGGACTGACAAACTTGTGACTGTCCCACGCTGGGTCTGCGACTTCACGACCGTTGCCAGAATGGCCAGGACGAACAAGAATCTTCAAGCCCGCAGAAATTGAAACAGTTGAGTTAGTTGCGTGATCTGCAGAAGCCCAAGGCCTGCCACGGAGTCCCGACTCATTCCAGTCCATGAAGAATCTCCACTGGAGGAAGGCTTCGACCTGCCAAAGCGAGATGTGAAGAATACTCTCTAGAGCGTTCCGGGGCGCACCAGGCCAAGCAGGATGACCGCTGCGATGCAGTACCTCAAAGCACGGCTCAGCACTCAAGTCTGATAAAACCTGAGCCCTCTGTCTTGAGGCTTCAGCTGGATGTGGAACAACTCCCGCCAGTAGCGCAACGACAGGCACATCCAAACGCTTGCCAGTGCGCAGTACGCCTCGGGAAGAAGCAGAGCAAATCATAGCAGCAGCTGCCGCATATCACTTCCTTCACTAAGTGCCCAATCAAAGCTGAATGATGCCAGCTAGAAACGTCGAAGTTGACCCGTGCAGGCTTTGGGTTGTTCTTCTTTCGCAAATGAAGTCATGTTTGCCCACTGGCTGCACGAACTTGAGCTAGCGCTGGTCTATCCAGCTGCACTGGAAAATTGCTCCACGGTTCCGGAGTCAGGAAGCCGAATGCATCAAAAGAATCACAAGCAGTGGATTTAGCCACGGCGCTATCGAGAGCCATCCGTAGAATGGCATCTTGTAGTACCTCGCAGTAGCACGCAGCAGCACAACAAGGACTTCTATGAATCCTTGCTACTGCTGCTACTGCACCACGGGCACTCATTTCCAGGCAGAAAGCCGTAGGAATTCTTCGCGATGACACTACCACTGACCTTCCGCCATGCTTCAGTCTTGAGATTTCTGACGCTATCTGCAAATACACCTGACGGGGAGTCTGCCAAGCCTCGCCATGATAAAAGTCGCCGCAGTTCGAGAAAACGAGGATGTACACTCCGGTGGAGTTGACTCTCAACTTGGAAGGTTGGAAGTAAGCCGGAGTCCCAAAAAGGCCAGAAAGCGACTATGGTTCGGACTGGCAAATCGGTAGCCATCTCAAAGTTCACCGTGTGGGAGTACCTCGAGTTTCTCTCATTCCATGGCGAGGCAGGAGCAATAACAGTAGCAGCAGGAGTAGCAGGAGGAAGCAGGGGCAGGAGCAGGGGCAGGAGCAGGAACAGTAGCAGTAGTAGTAGTAGTAGTAGTAGTAGTAGTGGTAGTGGTAGTGGTAGTGGTAGTGGTAGTGGTAGTGGTAGTGGTAGTGGTAGCGGTAGTAGTGGTGGTAGGTGGTGGTGCTGGTAGTGGAGTAGTAGCGGTACTGGCAGCAGTGGTAATGGCACTAGTAGCAGCAGCACGAGTAGGAGGAGGAGTAGAAGTAGTAGTAGTAGTAGTAGTAGTAGTAGTAGTAGTAGTAGTAGTAGTAGTAGTAGTAGTAGTAGTTGAAATCATCGTAGAATGCTTATCTTTTGCAGGGTTTAGAGGGGCATAACACTGGGCAGGGTTGAAGTGAAGGGCTTGGTCATCCATATTGAAATTACTCTACAATGCTAATCTTTTGCAGGGCTTAGAGGGGCAGGGTCTGGGCATCACACTGGACACAACCGATGGCTCGTGGACGTATCTACGGTGGTATCTGTGTCGGTCGGCAGCTAGAAGTTTTTCAAATCATTGAGCACTCGGAACCTCCTTCTTATCTCACCCTAACTGAGGAATGCAAGAGGCATGGTTCGAGGTTCCGAGAGGTTCCGAGGAGGTTGCGAGGAGGCTCCGGGGAGGTTCCGAAGAGGCGATCGCCTCGACCAAAAATGGCCACAGATTGATTGTCTCAACACAATCCTGAACAGGCAAGTGATCGAATACAGCAATGTGACCCTCATGTTCCAGGCCTATGATATGAGAAGAAATGTTCTTACTGTGGGTTTTTGGGGCTTCGGTTTTGGTTTTGCTTATGTCATTTGGGTGGGAAGATGCAAACGACCAGTAAGGTCACAGGTTCACGTCGTCATCGGAGCTTCCGAGAGGCTTCTGCGTCAACCTGGCAAGCAGAAAACCGTACTCGATGTTATATCTTGGGATCTGGCAAAGGCTCCGGGGAGATCAAGAACTCATGCGTGGAGTACAGCTTGTTGGCTTCTTTTGCCCGTCCGGCTTGAACCTCAGATTACTGTGCAGTGCCAACTGTCGTACCGTTGTACCCCTGCAGTGAAGCCAACGGGCATGCTGAGACTATGACGTCCTCAATGTTTGAGCAGAACTTGTCCCTGCAAGTTTGGTAGCTGTGTCGACAAAAGTTCCAAAATCTTGGGCTTTCGTCTGAGAATTCAATCTCCAATACGGCACTTGCATGCTTGGCCCCATAGAATCGACGGCCAGGGAACCTCTGCTTAGACTTCTCCTTCTGAGGGCGAGGCGGCAGGATCAATTTCCAGAAGCTTCGGTATGGCAGGATGCTCAACTGCACGCCCTGAAGAGGTCTTGCCAGGACATAGTGTGTTGAATGACCGCAGCTGCTGGCTGTACTCTCGGACGGAAGGAGGTGCCGGGATGCTGTATGATTTGTATGCGAGCCTTCTTGGAGGCACTGGGGTGCAAACATGTGGTGCCGTTTTGAGATTCTGCCACGGGAGGGGCCGACTTCTCTACTGGTTGTTCCAAGCTTTCTAAACAAGAGCAGAGCGGCAAAGAACGCAAGCCCAAGCCGAGCTCCCCGCAGTATAACCTCTTGCCTTCTCCGCATCTTCTGGACTCGTGGCCGAAAACCTTCGCATGCACTTGGCTTGGCAGAGTTCTCCGAAATGCGTTGCATTCCGCAGTATGCCCTTGCCGGAGACTGGAGAGGGGTTTTCTGAGTCAGCAGCATGAGATTGTGGAACCTCATCATTGGCTGGCCCAGCGTCCTCCGAAACGCTAGCGGCAAGGGCGGGGAGACGAATATGAAGTGTAGCTTGCGGCATCCTCTCAGGTGCATCCTGGTGGGAAAACACCTCGGAATCGCTGCTGGCGGCGTGATCACATCTGCATGACAAGGTAAAGCCGGTGGCTGAGGCCTCTCTCAGAGCCCGGCGTAGAATGCGTAAAGTGTGTGCAGCGATCGTGGCTCTGGCAAGGGCACCTCTGTAGATGACCATGAGCTACGCAGATCTACGCAGCTACCTTCCGCGTTGTTCGGCATCATCTGCACGAATTCAGCTTGGCCTTGTCGAAGGTGTAGATCTGGCCAACTACGCACCTGCTAAGTATCTGGCAGGAAACGTCCGTCCTCATTCAATCTCTTTCTGACTCCCGGCTCTCAGCCAAAAAGGCACTTGCATACCCTACACTGGCACCGGCCTCAGCAGCAAGACAATTGACAAACACCATGTCCGGCTGCCTTACCGATGCAGGACTCGCAGCACATGACTGAGAGGACGGCAAGCCGCGGTTTAGACGACTGGATCTTACCGCTGAGCGAAGCAAGCTGACACTGCAGAGTATGCAGAGTGTACCCTGCTACTTACACATGATCCAAGGCTTTGACGGCAGGCCATGGCGGCCCCAACTCACGGAAGTGCCACACTATGTCCCAGGTTTGCCTATGGGCCTATACTTTCGCAACGATGGAGCTTGAGTTGGAACATCCTGCTGAACATGCAGAAAGCTTGCAGGCTTGCCTGTCGCGCACTGTGGCGAGCTGCGCGCTTCACAAGAAGCACATCGTTGCATCTGCCGCACGATTTTCTGCGGCTCGTCGCGCACGGGGCTTGACAATGCTTGTAAGCGAGCATCGCTCCGGTCCTCGAGTCTACATGGCCTCGGGGATTCGCTCTGCGAGGCTGGCCAAAGACCGGGCCGTGCTTGTGGATCGGGTCAACTCGTCACGGCTCATTCGACTTTCGACTTGTCGCAGCCTTTACGGCACTTCGATCCAAGACGTATCAAGACGCTGTGCCGGGCTCCTCCTTGCAGTGCAGTGAAGACTTTAGGCACGAAGGCACAGGGATATCTCCGAAACATGCATGGTGCCGCCTTGGGGTTCGGCTCCCGTGAATCCGCAGTTGCAGAAAACGTGTTGGCAAGGAACCTTAACGCAGCATGTTCCACAAACTGGCAGTGAGAGATGGTGAAAGAATAATGGCAAAATTTCTGGGCAGCCTGCATTTCTTTGTCGAACTCGTTGTCACAAAGCCGCGCTTTGTCCACCTGGCATGCAGACTGAGCCTTTGGCATGCCCTATATGTCCCGGGCACGTCAATGCCTGCCTTTCGAGCCTGCTCCCGCGCCTGAGCACACGGTGGTACCACGCAGCTATGACACTATTTGCGGGATCCCATGTCTCGGCGCATAATACGCTGTCCACTGCTGGCCAAGACAAGTACTAAAGTGCACAAACCGGTGTCCGCGATGCATAAAAGCAGATCCCTTTCAAGGAAGTCTTAAGCAGTCTGCAGATTCCAAGCGCTCACGTTGTGCAGCTTGTGCTTTGGCAGCCTGTGACTCTGAAGCAAAGTCTCTCGTGTGGATCAGTGCGAAAGCCCTAGTGTGCGGACCTCCAGGCCTCCGCATCCCCACACCTGACGTCTCTGTGCGTCGGATTGCTCCAAGAGCCCTAAGCTGGACCTCGACGTTGAGAACCTCGAAGCGAGTCTGAAGGCCTCCCTGTGAAGGAAGAAGCCTCGCACATGCACTTTCTGAACGATGCTGGTGCAGTTCAGGGTCCAATTTCGGCCTTCCGGGTCCGTAAGTCGCGTCGGATTCAAGGACATAGCAATCCTCAAAGTCTGCATCCAGCCACAGCCTTGTGAGACATGTGTGGCAGTGCTGGGCACATCAAACTCTCTCAATTCCGCACTTCTGCAAGAATTTTCGCACCTGCAGAATCCCAGCTGTCCGCCAAAGCCGAGCCCCCGAGGATAGTGCTTGTTGCGCCTGGGTGAGGCATGAAGGCTTGGCTACGATGTCCGCACTTCAAACCTTGCACCTTGCCAGCAGCCCTTGAGACAAACACAAATTTCGCAAGGCTGCCATGCTTTCGGTCACAAGCTACTTGCCAAAGCCACCCCAAACGCACACCAGCGGAAAGTGGACGGGGCTCGTGATGTGGCGATGGTCTGGGGGCTGAGGAAAGGGAGAACCAGCTATGACTTCGCACTTCGAACATCGAGACCGAGGCGTCGCAGAATCTCAGGGCACTACGAGTTGAAGTACACGTAATTCCCTGTGCGGCTTGAGCTTTTGCACCTTGTCTCCAGGTTCGCCGAGTCGAAGCCACTCATTGCCCTAGTTTTTTTGAGGGCTCCGGCTGGACGAAGGCAGGCTCCAGTGCAAACCTCAGACTGCAAGGATTAGAAGGCACAGGAGGATGCTCCCCAGGGATTTAGGCCTTCACAGGAAGCTCTCCATGGACCCGCCGAACTTGCCATTTCCCTCGACCCAGGACCTTCTGAGCAGGTACATCCGACTCTAGGGTGTTTTACGAATCGCTCTTGGGGGACCCACGTTGATAAGGCCCCAAGCACCGAGTCAGGTGTTCGGATCAGGACCAAGGCCGGCCCTTCGTAGAAGGCAGCACCCTGAAGAAATGGCAATGAAATTATCTGCGGAGATGAGCAGTGGCAGTGTAGTAAGCAGCAGTCCTTGATCAGGGCATTGAAGGACATACCGTCGCACCAGTCACGGTACAAGGGTTGCCACTCTTCAGACCTCTGCTCCACAAACAGAGGAAGCTCGGAAGCGAGAACGCAGGCCATCCAGGCTCAAGGCTCCCAAAGTCGAGCATCGGAACCCCGCAGCAACCTGGCTCTGCGGTCTGCTTCGCGAGCCACGGCTAAAAACAAATCCCAGGGATTCTATCGATCCTGAGATCCGAACAGGTGCAGGCCCGCCTGACAGGTGCCGGGCTTGCAGCAAGACGGAACGGCAAGCCCAAGATGGAGAACCTCCTAGCGCCCAGATCGGTCAAGGGGCAGACGCGACACGGCTCTCCAGCGTAGGAATGGGCGGCAGGGCCTGTTCGCAGCAGCGCGGGACGCGCTTGTCTGATGTGCAAGAGTTTCTTTGCTGAGACTGCAGCTGCACAGCCCGCCAAAGTGTGCCCCAAACTCGCCGCGACAGCCCTCGGCAGCATTGGAAGATTGCCTCGCCAGGTCGGCGTTTTCACTGCTAGATGCCTGTCCCGCCGAGACGGCGAATTTTTACCGGGCAGCTGTCTCGAAGTGCCGGACAAATAGTGCGACCGAGACCGACCCCAAGCTGCCTTCAAGCCACCGGGTCAAAGCCTCAAGGGTCGTCATCTCAGCTCCGGCGGTGACAGCAGCCACCTCTGGCACTACTTGCACTTGAAACACATGAAGGCGCTGCGAGTACATGCCGACCCTCCCGCTATGCTGAAGGAATTCTACATGCTGGGTTCTTTCTGAGCAACTTGTCATCATGCCGCTACAGCGCAAACCGTTTGTCGGGGTCCTTGCCATCGCATCGGGACTGACAGCCTCCTGGCAGTGTCACGTACACACTTGCTGATTCGGACTGATGCATAGACTTGATAGCGATCTCCTGCTCGTCAGGTGATCTCTCTGCAAAGGATGACCAGAAGCACCTGGCATAGCTTTCCATTGGTTCATAAAAAGCATCGTTAACATGCATCTCGCTCCTAGCCGAACAGTCCGCCAGAGCCCCCGCGAATCTGTGCTGCCTGCTACTGCTACCGCTGCCTGCGGCTTAGGCATAAACTCTCTTCCTTCAACAGTGGCAGTGTCGCAGAGTCAAAGCCAGCTCCAGGAACAGACTCAGCCTGAAAGAAGCCGCAGCGAGCGCCGGGCGGCACAATGCCCTTCGCATTCGAGAGCTCGGGGCCCCGGGCTCTTGCTCACCGGTACCTGAAGTGGGGGGTTCCGAAACTAGAGGACCCTATAATATAGTGCTCTAAATAGAAGGATGATTATTGCAGGGACACCAAAATATAGGACCTCTAAGTTTCGGAGACTCCCAAGTAGTCAAAACTCAACCTTATTTCATCCTCAGACTCATAGGACTTTCCGGGGTCACCAGCAGACACTGGCTCGGCTCCAGCGGACTCCTTGCAAGGAGGGTAAACGAACCCTGGCGTCTTGGGGGTTCCTGTAGGATCTGGTTGCGACTCTTGCGATGGGTCTCCTGTGTCAGGTGTGTTTCGGACCATACCTGGTCAACATGATGTAAGGCGAAAGTGTCGCCAAATCCAAATCTCAAACAGCAACTCACACAATTCGCTGCTTCGAGCCTGAAGTAGGTGACTCCTAAGCCGAAAACGTAAACGAGGTGACACATGCACAACACACAGGTCGCTGGCTGCATACCTCGGGACCACACCAGCTCAGACCTGTCGCACTTGTAGCTTTTGATAGACCAGTCGCCAGAGATTTCCTGAGGGGGGGAAGCTTCTTGTTTGCGTAAGAATTACGGTGACAAAATGCTAACCCAGTCAACAGTAAACGCACGGACTGCTGAAGGCAAGGGTCCACTCAGCAGATCCCTCGCCCACTCGCTCCTCTGCTGAGCTTTGTGGTTCAATGCAGGAAATCTTCGATTCGGAGCAGAATGGAAACGGCTGGACAACCGGTCCTTGCTCAAGTAGAAGAAGAGAGGCTGCACGAAAGAGCCTCAATGTAGAACGAGCTTCATGCAAGCTCCACTTCTGCGCCATTCCAGGCTTCCATGCGCAGATGGCTGGGAAAGCATGCCACCTCGAAGGTGATAGCACGCAAGCAGTCCTCACTTCCTGCCACGCCCGGGAGCAAGCTGCACGTCGTCTGAGAGCGCAGCGAAGTCAGCAAGCTCCACTCTAACAGGCTGCCTCAGACCAGGTGCTACACCAATGCATTCGTTCTCTGTCAACTGTTGGATTGTCATTTCTTTCGGTAGCTGCTGGAATGAGCCCTGGACCCTGTGAGTAAGCTCAAGACGCATCAGTGATGCGAAGAGTCTTCTTCAATCGAGCATACTCCTCCGCAGAAAATCCGCACCTGCAGGGGATCGAATCGAAAGTACACGATCCGAAATCCTCGGATTCGGGGTCTCTCTTGCTTAAAGTTAGGAGTGAGGACAACTGCGAGCAACGTGTGGCTCGGGAACGGGCCGGCCTGTCCTCTCTGGGCGCATCTGCCTGTACAGGGCTGTCATGAAGCTTCGGTTTGCAGGCTTTTGCTTCCGATCTCCACACCATGGTCTACCTCAAGAACCCTGTTTTGCAGCGCTGCCGTTGCGATAGCCCCAACACTGGCTTCCCGGCAGCAAAAAGCTGGTGCCTGCACATGTGCGGCACCTTGCCCCATGGTCGCATGTGTGCTGGCATGAGATGCTGCTAAAAGCTTATGACTTCATGATGCTGAATATGCAATCGACGCATCACCCCTATATGGCCCCTACAGCCGAGTTGAGCTTGCTGTCTTTGCTTGTGCTGGGCGACTCCGCAGTTCATGCTGTCTTGGACCAAACCAGAAAATTGAGCTCATGTGTGCCTCTGCGCCTCGCGGATCCGTCGTGCTGACTGCTGAATTACACGCACCGGACAGGCACAAGCTCCGCTTTGTCGTTCAGATCCTGTAAACAATCAGTCTCGGACTATGCTTCAGTTACTGTAGTGAGCGGATAGAACACAAAGTCCTTCGTGCACTCTCCAGTGCAGCGTCCAGCTGAGATAGCCTCAGATGATGCCACTTCAGACATCTGGAAACTTCAGCACGCCACATTGGCCACTCTTTTTCCCTCCCTCGTTGTGCTTTGCTGCCACGACGACGACTACAGCTACAGCTACAACTGCTGCTACTACTACGACTACGACGACCACAAGTACTACTACGACTGCTTATTGCTACTACGACGACGACTACTACTCGACTATAACTACTACGACGACCACAACTGCTACCAGTACCGGAACGAGTATCAGGATCAGCACCAGCACTGCCGACGACAACTTCCACTATCATCATTATGAAACTGATCATTAAGGTTGAAAGGTATGTGTGTGCATGTGTGTTCTTATACACATACACGCACGCCATTACGGATGTAATTAGATATGTATGTGTATTATACATGCTTGTATATACGAAATAGGTATTGTCACCTCTCCATGATCCACTGCAACATTCTTGCCATCTGTTCGTCGACGTCCAGATTTACTGCGGTTTCTGCACTTCACATATACTGACCTCTATTTCTTGTGCTGGTTTTGTGGCTGCGCTTATCGGAAGAAGCGCCTTAGCCCTGCTCGACTAACAAAGACACCAAAAAACCCAACTATTTCCTCATAGTTCATGTGTTTTTTCTCATTGGACATCCTTTTAAAACACAGAAGCACGAGAAGGCTCCTTGGTCCCTTAGAGTATCAGTGGCTGGAACTCAAGGAGCCCCTACAAGCTGCCAATATCGCAAAAGTACATCTTAGTGTTCCGTAGAAGCCGAATAAGTTCGATCATAAGTAAAGTGTGTCGAGCCTCTTTCGCTTCATAACACGAATGGAACAACTGCTCGTTTCTTCATATCATGTGGAACCAGACAACTACTGTTACAATCAGAATAGCAGGTGAAATTTTCGTGCAAGGACAAAACCAAGACCAAGTAAAGCACAGTTAAGAGATGAGAAGACAGGAGCCATTTCATGTCTTGCTGAACAGAGCAGCAGCTCTCTTGATCTTTGCTGGTAGTATGGCGCGGAGGAGTCCGGTTAATGGTTGATGAGCCAAGTGGTCTTTTGCTTCTGAATAAGAGAGGAACAGCGAATGCGTTTCAGATATATCTTTGTCCTAATTCCCACGAAGCAGAAGACGTATATGCACGCGCGCTTCCATAGCAAAACAAGATGATTAGGTATGCATAGTCGCACCATATTGTGAGCATGAAGAGTGAGAGCTCCTGTATCTTAGTCAGGATAGGTACTATTGCTTTAGCAAGAACTATTAGTACAGAATTCAAGCCTCGACAAGCTCGAAGGTTCAACCACATCTATACAACAAGAACAACAACTATTAAAAGCAACAATACCGCTACTAGCACTGCGACACTTACTGGTGCAAACATTACTGCTTGTTGTTGTTCATCTAGTTCCAGATTGCTAAGCTGCCGCCAGGCTCAAATTAAACCAACAAAAGTAAAGCGTGAAGTGCCAAACCAATTGCAAGGATCGAATTTTCATAAAATTCCTATCATCTATCGGGGGTGCGGGGCCATGGTTGCTCAGATTTTGGGAATTTGAGGAAAGTCGATTCCTGCTGATGTTTTCGCATCCGAGGTTGACAAAACGCCGCCAGGTTCCAATTTCCACTTATGCTGGCATCCATAGGGCCATGAGTGTTCACTTTTCGGTTCTGCTGATGTTGTCGCAGCCGGGGTTGCTAACATGCTGCCAGGCTCCAATTTGACTCTGTAAAAGCCTGAGATGTGAAACATTGGCAGGTATCGAATGGCCTCAAAACTTGCCAGAATCCTGGCATCTGTGGGGGAGATGCGGGGCCAGAGTTGCTCAAGATTTTTTGCAAAGTTGGGGGCAATTGAATCCCTGTGGGTGATTTCGCACCTTCAGGATTGACAACTTTAGGTAATCTGATCACTGTCGATGTTTTCGCATCCGAGGTTTGGGGGGGGGGGTGGTGAGTGTGTATATGTATGTATATGTCGATGTATGTATGCATGCCTGTACATAATAGATAATAAAATCTTTGATCCACACGCAAAAGATATCAGTGTTGTCCCTGCTCCATGCCCTCTTGTCACTGGTCTGATGCGAGTGGTCCGAACTGGTCTTTAAACAGGACTTGGGGTGAATCTGACAGGACATCTGGACTTGAACCCTAACCCCAAACCCCCAAACCCTAAATTCTAAACCCCAATCCCTAAAACACCCCAAAACCCTAAACCCTTAGTCATAGCATCGTCCCCTACCTCCCTAAGGACCCTTATGAGTTAGGTAGAGCACGAGAAGCCCTTGAGGCGCCGGCTCGCGCTCCTTCGCTCCTCGGCGTACCAGAGGCAGCTCGGCCTGGCCGGTCTCAAACACCACGGTCCACGGTTTAGGTTTTAGGGTTTCCCTAAACCCTAAAAAACAGTATAGGGTTGCAGGGCTTTGGTGTTTTAGGGTTCAGAGTTTAAGGGTTGAGGGTTTCAGCTTTGCGGGTTTAGGGCTTTAGGCACGCACTTGGATTGAGAGTCCCCAGTGGTTGAACACGTGAGACCCCCAACGCAGTTTTGCAAGGGGAACACCAATTAAGAAAGTTAAATGTTCCAGCGTCAGAACTCGTCCATCACTTCCCGGAGAACCTGTGTAGCAGCGTTTCGAATCATAAGGTGTTTAGGGCTTTAGGGTTTTAGGGTTTGGGGCAATATCACAACGGTTGCATCTGAGCGAATTTACATATGAAAATTGTCGCTATACAGATACCTTCCAGTTGCATGTTGTCAAGGGACAGCTTTAATATAACGTGTTATAACTTAT